CCGCCCAGCCCATCCTGCCCCGGCCCAGCCCGCCGGCTCGGCCCTCGAGGCAGCAAGTCCCTCCCGGGAGGCGGGTAGGGGCAGGGGCAGGGTGGGGGGACGAGCGGACAGGGGCAAGGTGGGCGGGGCGGGTACCCAGCACCCACCGAGCCACTCGTTGAACTTCTTGACCTCGCTGGGCAGCCCCAGCTCCGTGAAGTCGCCGGCGTGGATGAGCACGTCCCCGTAGGGCATCTGCACGGGGTCCGTCCGCGAGTGCGTGTCAGACACGCAGACGAAGCGGGTGTAGCCGGGGGGCTTGGGGGCGTCGTGAGGCACGGGGTCCACCCTGCGGGAGAAGACACCGTGGGGGCCTGGGCCGCCGCCGCGGGGCGTCTCGGCGCCAGGGGCCCCAGCAACCCGACCCGGACGTGCCCGGGGCGTCCCGGGGAACCCCGACTCCCTGGCCACCTGCTCCCCCCAAAATGTGGGGGCCCCGACAGGGTTATGACGCCAGTTACAGAGGGGGGTGGGGGCGGCCGCGGTGACGGGCAGAGCTGCCGCCACCTGCTTCCCCAGGCAGCCGGGGGCCCTCTGGGTGCCCTCCTCGCCCTCGGGAGCCCCCCACGGCGAGGCCGGCCCCGGCGCCTCCCGAGACAGACTCCGCCAACATCCCCAAGCCAGGCCGTGCCCCCGGGGCACCACCCAACCCGTCAGGAAAGCACCGTGGTCCGGCAGGAAGAACCAGCCCCCCACGGCCCCCCAGGAGGGCCACAGTGAGGGGGGTTTCGGCCCCCACGCGTCTCCCCTCGGGTCAGGGTACACCTCACCCCCGTGAGCCCCGTCGGTGGGGAGGGCAGGGGGCACCGAGAGGGGGGGTGCAGGCGGGGTGCAGGCAGGGAGCAGGCGGTCTCGGCGGAGGAGACAGCCCTGTCCTGCCGCCCAGCGACTCCTCTGCTAGGTGTCCGCCCGAAAGAGACGGACGCGCTGACCCCAGGCCGTGGGGTCCCCAGGCTCTCAGCTACGGGGAGACCGCCGGCCCCAGACGCTGCCCAGGCCCGGAGGCCGGAAGAGACGTTTCCGCGTGCCACCCGGTGCAGCCAACACGACTGGCCACTTGAAAACACTGATGACCGCCCGCGCCGTGGGGGAGGTGCGCTGAGCGGGCAGGGGCGGCCGGGTGGCCCCCAGTGAGGGCTGCAGGGAACACCCCAAGGATCCACACAAGCCCTTGACCTCTGGCTGCAGGACTGAGGCAACCAAAGGGGGGGAGCCGTGGGGGCCTCAGGGGACCACTGGACGTGAAGGGGGACAGTTGGGGCTTTGCTGCTCGGCCGGGCGGAAAACTCAGTTATAGGGGTTTGAACCTGCCACCCCCAAGCAGACGCAGTGATGCCACTCAACCTTATATCAGTACACATAACTGCGGGGCGGGGGGAGGTGCCCCCACACACTGGGGGGGTTGCAAACTGTCCAGGCCAGCCCGCCGGCCACTGCCCTGGGGCGCCGGCCTGAGGCAGAGCTGAGCCGGTCCGCCAGTGCAGACGCGGGGAGTGAGGCCCCACACCCCTCGCCCAGAGAAGGGCACCTGGGACCCCGCCAGTGGCCCGGGGGCGGAGAGGAAGGCAGATGAGGGGTGCGGCCAGCCCCGCTCCCGGCCCGGCCCCTGGACCCCGCCTCCGGCAGGGGGCTCTCCCCGCCCAGAGCTCCCCGAACGAGACGATGACATTTCTGCGCGAGGACTGGCGTGTAATCTAATTATGCGGCAAGCCCAGCCGGTACCGTATCAGTTACATAAATACTTTTAAAGACATCTTTCTAATTATCCTTTTTTTCAGACAATATACTTCGAAGAAATTTAATTAACACCTGACGAGAGACGGGGTTCGGCACACTAATGTGCAGGGAGCGGCAGGTTGGGCCTGCGATGGGGGCTCTCCCGGGGAGCCCGCCCCCTCCCGCGCTCCGTAAGCAGCCCCAGCGGCCGGCGGGCAGGAGGACGCCCAGGGGTGCGGCCGGCGGGCAGGAGGACGCCCAGGGGTGCACCCCGAGCTGCAGGAAGCAAGGTTCTCCTCCTCCCCTCTCCGCCCTCCCGTCCCTCCCTCCAGGACACTGCCTGGCCCACCCGCGCCAGCCCCAAGGGGCGTCCGGCCTGGGGGGCCGTTGTGGCCAGGCGCCGGCTGTGACGCCTAACTGGGCAGGGGCCTGGGCGGCCCGCGGGGACCTCACCCAGTGCCGAGCAGGCGAAAGCTGACTCCCTCCTCTCTCCCCTGGGGCCCCGCCCCGGCCCCACGTAGGGCGCAGGTGGCAAGCCGAGCCCACCTGTGCCCCCGCGAGCCCAGGACAGCTGCCGAACAGGACCGGGGGGCCGGGGGGC